CACCGGGAGGGATTGAGGCGCATTTCGCCATTGTTTTCTGCCCTTTTCTCTGTTTCTGCTTCACACTTTATATGAAAATGTATTTCTCTTTGCAGGTTTTTATTTGTCGTTCTTCGATATTTTGCATAACCAACTTTCCATGCCAACCAACTAATTAAAAGTAAACAATGAAAATGGTTATAACCTTATTTTCAAAAAATCTGAAAATAAAATACAAGACATAGAAATAGGATTTTTCTGGCAAGTAAACAAAGAAATAGTTAATTTTTTTTTTTTTTTTCCGGGCCAATGAAATAGTTAAAATGTTGCTCCTAAAACAGAAATATATTATATTCATATCCATAAAAAGGAGAAAAACATCATATTTATGTTAGTAATTGCTTTTGAAATTAAGAAAAGAAATCACAATTTAATAAGTAGTGGCATTCATTTGAGTTAATTTCACCAATCTCCTGTCGTATAAATAAATATTTATCTGTGATTTGTTGGTAGTCTCAAATATAACGACATGGTCCAGAAAGCTTGGTGTCAAGAGAGAAACAAAGATACAAGAGTCTTGTCGGAATCAAGAGAGAAACAGAAATTTACATAGTGATTCATGAGGAAATTCGAAGATTTGTTCTTAAAATCACTCAAACCTACTCCGGTAAGAGTAACATGTATTACTATTCCTTACAATCACAATCTTTATTATTGCTAAACAAGTCCTAATTGAGCCAAGCGGCCAAGCCTACAAAAACTAAAAGATGTTCACACAACAATCTTGAATTTTATACATGGTGAGTGTGACTCAATCATGCTTGAGATAGTAGGCATTTAAAAGAAGAATCACAGCCTAAATTTTGAATTGAGAATCACCATCACAATCTTCATCTCCTCCTCCTAACACTTTTTCTAGATACAAGCAGAATAGAGAGTACAAAGAAACCAAAAGCTTCAAATCTGAAATTAAGTTGATTCATAGCTCAAACTTTTGATTAATGTTAGAAACAGAGAAAAAGAAGAAATTTTTGAAAAAATGTTTATTATTTTCTTGAATAATATTTTATATGTACAATGACCAAGAATATTTTAAAGTATAAAATATTTAAATAGAATATTTTAAAATATAAAATATTTACAATAAGTGTGAATATAATCTGAGTTATTGTATTCATATCTTAACAATTAGCATTCAAACAAAAAAAATTAAGAAATAAAAACACAAACCAAACCAATATAAACTTTAAGGAAAATATACTCAGAAAATGGAACCTTGATAAACAAAGGATGGAATAAATACTTGAGATCTAAAAGCAAGGTTATGGGGTAAAAAACAGACCTTGAAAGATTTTAGTTGTGCGTATCCATGCAATCCCCTGCTTTTTTCCTTCATGCGTATTTATATAAGTTGATAATTTGGAGAAGGCTTCTGGATGTCTTCAACTCCTGATATACAACCTAATTATTCAATCAAGAGATTTCATCAATAAGTAGAAGTTGGAGTTAGATGGAGGGTTATTTTCTTCAAATTTATTTGGGAACCCAAACTCAGTTTTCATGACAAAAGAAAACAAGGAGCTTGAAATTATGGGATAAATGGAGGATTGAGATGTCACAAATTAAACATACTTACTTTTCGTGCCATTTGATTGTTTCATAATCTATCAAGACTTGGGGAATGTGGGAAATCTTGGACCATTCCTCTCCTTCATATTTTACGCCTTCTATATATTTTATGCATCTTTTCTTTAAACTAGGACATTTTATAATGCGCAGCTCTTGAAGAGAAGAGAGGTTTCCTAACCAGTCTGGTAAAACTTCCACTCTGTTGAATTCTTCTATAGTCAATGACTTGAGTGCAGTGAGATGCCGAAGCTGATTTGGCAGAAACTTTATTTTATCCCATCCTGTCAATGTTAAATCTTTCAGGGAAGCATGAAGGTGAAGGATGCAATCGAGTCCTGGGAACTCCTCCAAATCTGAGCTGAAAGGACCCATCCTTAACTCAATAAGGGATTTTAGGGCTTGGAGTGGAAACAGATGCTTTAGATTTCCGCATTTAAAAATGTGAAGTCGTTGAAGAGAAGTGAGGTTTCCCAACCCCTCTGGAAAAGCATCCACTTGGTTGAAATTTGAAAGAGTCAATTCTTTCAAGGCAGTGAGATGTTGCAGTTGATCTGGCAAAGACTTGACTCTATCCCATCCACGTAATATTAAAGATTCAAGGGAGGAGTTCAATTGATGGATGTAAGTGAGTCCTGGGAATTCCTCCAAGTTATAGCAGTAACTCATCTCTAACTCCTTTAAGCTAGTGAGGTAGCGTACACACTCCTCCAAAATGCTCCTTGGATTAAAGCAACTTTTAATTCTCAAAATCTGAAGAGATGAGAGCCCGTTCATACTTGGGATGGCCATCAGTTTGTAACAATTGCTAATGTACATATAAGACAGCTTATGATAAGATGAAAATCCACCCATTTGCCAAATTTTCAACCGAGGACAATCCTCAATTTGCAAAATCTCAAGGCAAGGAAACACAATCTCAACTTTTCCTCCTGCTGCTATATCATTGTCTACTTCAATCCATTCCTCTAAGCTTACAAGGCCCGTTAAGTAGAGTTCTCTCAAAGCTGGGAACAATTTGATTGATTCTACTCCTCCTGGACTATTACTTTTGGTGGGATCAAACTTATGACCCATTCTTTTTACAATTATAAAATTACAAATATAAAGAGACCTGAGACTAGGCAAAAGTCCCAAACTAGGAATATGTTCACAATTATACCAATTAACTAAGTCCAACTCCACCAGGTTACTGGACAAAAATGTAGCACCACCACTCATCATCCATGGTGGAAAGCTCCTTCCTTCATAATCCTGAATGGATAAACTTTTCAGATTTGTGTGAGGCTGAAAACCTTCTAGAACCTCTTCCTTGTTGGCCCAGTCTGTTCCCTTTAAAATTCCCCACCTCAGTTTCAACTGGCGTAATCCTGTCTTTTCCTTTAGATTTGCTTTAGTGGCTTCTAACATGGACCGAACATGGTCAAGCTGCCGAATCTCCAATTCTCCTCTGAGTTGAGATAAGCCTCCCAGTTCTTCAATGCCAGCCCCTTCTTCTATGCCTACCGAAAACATAGGTAATGTTTGAAGGGAAGTTAGGTGCCCAATCCTCCCTAGCAGAGGACAGTAATCGATAGGAAACAAATGTGCCTCAAATTGACCAAACTGGTCATCATATCTTTTGGGTGGATTATTTGATAGCTACGGTCCTGTCTGAAAGTTTGCAAATTATAGAGCTTGCAAAAGGACTGCGGTAGGTCATAATTCATTTTGTTTGAGATATCAAAGTATCTCAAATGCTTTAGTTCTCCAAGGGCAGGGTGTAACACTTTCTTCATGTTGAAATCTATAGAAGTAGGGATCTCGGTTCCTGCTAATTTTAAAGATCGCAAACTTTTGAGATTAGGTGCCATGGCATTGAAAACAGTACAAACCTTCTCTTCTATGAACAAAGAACGTAGCCTTCGAAGGATATTAGCTGGAACATTTGGAGGCTCACTTGCATCATGCTTGACTCTCAAATGTAGAATACTAGCATTTTCATCAATCTTGCAACTAGTCTTTAGTATGAAAGTTTCATCTTTTGAAACAGACAATGCTAAATCATGCACCACATCATGTATCTTGCAATATTTGATATCTCCATATGATGTCCTTTCCACATCTTGAAATAAGGAATTAGACAGCAAATAATTAAAGTAGGCATCACCAATCTCTTCCATTGTCATGGAACTTTCATTAGGTTGGTGAAGATAACCTTGAGCCATCCAAAGTTGAACTAAATCATCCTTCTCAATGATGAAATCCTTTGGAAATATTGAACAATAGGAGAAGCATTTTTTCAAAGGAGGAGGCAAACGATCAAAACTTATTTTTAGTATAGATAAAATCCCGTTTCCATCTTTTGAATTCAAATTCCATGCATCATTATCTCTGATAGCCTCCCACTCACTTGTTTGACTTTCACGGCTTAATGTTCCTCCAATGATAGTTGCAGCCAATGGCAAGCCCCCACACTTCTTGGCAATTTCCACCCCAATACTTTTCAAATTTGAAGAAATTGAAGTTTGTTTGGATGAAGTGAGAATTGTCTCTTCAATTATTAACCAACATTCCTCATCTAATAACTTATGCATTTCATAAATTTGCATGGAATTTTGCATAAGATTCATCTCCATCATCACAGACGCTACCTCTTTATCATGAGTTGTCACCACAATAGAATTCCTAGTTGTCTTCAGAATTCTTGACAGACGATTACTGAAAGCATTCCACCTCGATTAATCTTTGTTCCACACATCATCTAGAACAAGAAGAAAAGTCTTCTTTTCTAACTCCTTTGCAAGATCTTCAACCAGTACATTGGTGCTGCTTGGAGGGACAGCACCCTTAAAATGTTCATGCATCTCTCTCAAAATTGTTTCCTCATTGAGGTCTTCAGAGACACACACCCACACTACTAGATCATAGCGCTTTTCTTCCTTTGCCTTATTGTATATTGATCTTGCTACTGTTGTCTTTCCAAGGCCCCCCATGCCAACTATTGAAACGCCAGAGACTAGATATTGTTTCTCCCTCAAGTCATCCAGCATGTCAAGAATTCTCTTAATATCATCTCCCCTTCCAAAAACTTTTGAATCACCAAGCAGGGAGTCTGTCTTAGGTAATTGCATGGCTGTTGGATGAAATTCGCGTGACTCCAGATTAAGTAGACATGAACACTCTTTTAATTCATCAAAGCGGACATTAATATCTTTTATTTTGTCAACAATATCAGAAGTGAATGAACTCCTTTTCCTCTTCTTCTCCCCAAGAGTCTCAACACGGCAGCAAAGATGCTCATAATCACACTCATCCACCACATCCTCAACATCATAAGCTAGCCTTTGGAGATGTTGTAACCAGAGCCTTGCAGGATCATCACTTTCTTTTCCCTGTTTTCGCTCTGCATCATTGATCATAGATTGGATAATCTTGAGGGAGTCTCTAAGTTTCGTCAGCTGCGCCTCATGATCAGAGGAATCTGAAGCTGTCCACCATCTATAAGCACGCGAAATTGCTTCGCCACCCAACGCCTCTATAATAGGGGGGAGGATGAAGTTGGTGACAAAGTCAAGTATCATGCCTGGAGACAGAGAAAGATCGAGCAAGCAACTGAATTCTAAGACAAAAGAAAAACAGAAAAGTGTCGTAAGAGGCGAGAAGAAGGAAAGAAAAAAAAAAAAAAACCAGTAACAGTATTTCCTCAAATATTGAATTGTTTATTATTATGTTTCCATCTTGTGAGCTTTCTCTTTCTCCTTAATCACCGCTCTCTCTTGCACAGAAAATCAAATATTGCTACACCTGATCTTATTAACCATAGGAAAACCCTTCAAATTCATGAACAAATAGATAGAAATCACTCAAGAAATTTTTTGACTAGCTATCAAATTATACATATTAATTAGAGGAAAAGAGAAAAGTAAGCAACATGAAATAGTTACTTTTTTTTTTTGGTCAAAAAAGGAGATGAAATTTTACTAAAATAACAACAATGTCAAGCGTCCAATTTAAAACAGCCAGAGTCTCACTTATCTCCTAAGTTTTTTGATGGATTTTATAACCAAACAAACAATACAACATACAAGCAAAA